CCCCCCCCCTCCCAAAGAAATAAGAAACAGCGTACACTTTCTATAACCTACAGTCAATCATTATATAGTGCATAAATTTGTTGAAAACCAACTGAGTCTAATGTTCGTGATCTTTAGGCTTTAATAAGAAAAATAATTATGTACTTCAAAAACATTCAAAACTAGGCCCATCCTTATCATCAGCTCATTTGAAAACCTTAAACTTTAGCTTTGTACTTTGCAAAAAAAAAAAAAAAGAATAAAAAAGAAAAAATTAACCTATCAAGCACTATAGCAACAAAAATGTGTTAACGTAGACGGAAAAAACTAACGTTTTTACTCCGCTAAACTCTATCAGCTAAATTCTCGATAATTAAAACCTAGTTAATTTCTTAAACAAAAAACCTTGAAAAAAGACTTTTTTTGAGCAACACAAAAAAAAAAATTTTAATTTACCATTTTTACCAAACTTTTGAATTTCTCACAGCTTATACGAACTGAAAATTATAATCTTAACATTTCACAGGAATTCCTTCTCCCAGTTAACTGTCGTTCATGAGAACTCATCCTTCAAAAAATTGCATTTCATACTTTCATCTGTGAAATTTGGCTCTATCTCCAGCGTAACCAAATGTGAATAGGGTTGTGAAAAATTCCAATAGGTCAATACTTTAATAAGTTTTTTTAATAAGTCCTATTTCTCAATGAAACTAGTAAAGATTTGTCATTCAATTCAGCAGCCCGTCTAAACCATGGCTCCTTTTTTCACTGACATTTCGTTTCATGTAAATGTGGTTCCCAAATTCCTCATTACGATGCTGTAATATAGCTACTTTTCTATGCAAATGATACCAATTTTTTTTATTTTTTTTGCAAAGGATCCTTTTTTTTTTCAGATCTTTAGTTGTGATATAGTTGACACCTTTCATCTTTCAATTCATTCTAATAAGTCTATACAGTACACAACAAATTTCTCGTATAAAATATGCGGAGAACTTTTTACTTTGCAAATCCGAATGGGATACCGCTCAAGATTTCTGGTGCTAAGAGAAAGGACATAGATTCTACATTCCAAAGCAAAAATTGCTGGAATACACTTTTTATTTTCCAGTTTTTTTTGGTAACTACTTGAATTTTTCAATGGCTTACAGGCTAATTAGATCGTATACCAAGGACAACAGCGATTTCTTGTTCCGTAAACGAATGGCAAATTTCCATTTGATCAGTAATCAAAGTTCAATTTAATTTCTGCAAAAGTTGTCTTTTTTTAAAATCTATGAAAAAAAAAAAAACTTTTCCAAAAACTTTATTAGCTTTTCTCTTTCTCAAGAAAAATTGAGTTTTCTTAAACCTAATCACTGTAGTTTATATCGAACTCATGAATGTCAATAGGCAATATAATTTGCCGTCATTTGCTGAAACAACCGCTGTTGACTGACTGTTGCCTAACGAAGGCCAATGCCATTTGACGTCTCACTCTCGCCCCTCACAATAATCGCAGTGAAAAACATTTAAAGAATATCTGAGACGATGTCTCATTACACAGAAATTTACATGACGTTCTAATGGTATCGCTTCTTCAATTGCAAACATTTTTAGTAAATAAAAATTCTGATAGATTATTAAGAAAATTTTGATTTCCACATTAATGGGAAATTTTACCATCAGAATTCTTTCAACTTATGCGAGCCAGTATTAAAAAAAATACTCTACGGACCTTTAGGAAAGAAACCCCAAAAACCGAGTTATACCCTTATTCTTAGGGAAATTTTGCAACTTCTCCAAAAACTATTGAGTTTTCGACTAGCTAGCTATGTTTGGTTCTTAATTCCACGATACTAAATAAATCAGATGTGATCAACTACAAGTTTTTCCATGTAAGACCCAACAACAGAAGAAGCAAATGGATTACCTAATACATTTTGAAATCGCCCGTTCGCTTAATGTTCGCTGAAAATGTCAGTGTTGCTCGTCCTTATAAAAATTCCAGTAGCACAAAAAATCACTGCATCATTATTATTTTTACCAAAATCGAATGGAATAGAGACAGCTAAATGTGTCTCAATAACCCCGTTAAAATCAGCGTCAGAATTTCGCTGGAGAAGTGTTTGTTTGAAACCGATTTGTGGAAGATAATGATTCTTCAAATTATTATCGAATAACCATAGAGGAACCGCCAGTTCAGGTCATCAAATAGAAATGCACAAGCAAAAACGGGAATTGCTGTCAAGTCAATTCTAAATTACTGGAAAAATAAAGAACGCATGGAAGCAGGAAACCACTCTAAAGTACTAAATTCTGCCTCAGTTTGATGTTAGTCATAAATATACCCTTAGTGACATCTCAAATTGGTTCGGTTCCTAAGTCGTCGATCCGGCAAATTTAGACACCATAAGTTGTGCAACTCACGTTATGCACATCGTAGCTGTTTTTTGAACAGTTACTACTCGAAGCAGAAAACTCTGCAAAATATCCTATTTGTTTCAATGTTGAATTGTAACCTGTCTTGACTAAATCACTAGTTTGCAAGAGGTTTGCTGTTAAAACTGTTACACATAAAATCTACCCGCTTTTTAATAGGGCCAAAGCAGCTAGTCTATAAGAGGACACCCAACAACAAATTTCCATCCAAGGGTAAAGTGCAACTCTCGTCGTGCAGTCAAATGTATTAATTCATTCATATGGATTTACATCAAGATTATCTTTTCTAACCTACTTTATCAAAATATAAAGAAGCTTTAAATATTTATTCTGCAATCTCGTCACAAAATATCAACTCTTTTTTTTTTCTTTTTGAAAAAATGTAGTTAATGTGGGGACTCTTACAGCTCGGTGTAGCTGTATTTTGAATGTCCAAGAGCGGATGCAGTTACAGAAAAAACAGCAAAATAAACAATTTAGGATTTCGTTAGAATTGGTTGCTCTCCTGCTTACCAGGTCAGAAACTAGGTAACCTGCTCAAGCATAATTGATGTTAAAGTTTCCTGCAACGAGAGTGCTTTGGCAACTTATGCCAATGCAATTAGTACAACTCAATCCTATCAGTGCGATTTCTGTCGCAAGATAAATACCAGTGTAAAGCTTGTAACGATAAATTTTGAGCTCAAGTAATACCAACCGAACTCAAATGACACTGAAATACAGTTATTTAAACTCAAAGGTGGCGCTTCAGCATAACAAAATAAAAACATAGCAAAAGTTATGAACTATAAGATGTCAGGAAAAAAAGCTACTGGCGTCAATAGATAAAGGTATGAAGCAAAAAACCAAATTAAGGGACAAGTATACGATAGCTCACTTTGTCCTGTAATTAAATGATCATACAACCAGCAAAATTCCTACTCAACCTTGGACAGCAAGTTTTGAAATGTACCAAACAAGAATACTCAACAACATTCTCTTACTTTGAGTTACAGAAACTAGAATTGTTCATTCCTGCTACATAACACCATACAGCACCTCATGAATAAAGAACCACCACTAACTTCGCAAAAAAAAATGTAAAGACAACAGAATTATGCAACTCGCTTGAAATTTTACGAATCATAAAGACAATTAACAAATATTAAAAGTGAACAATAAGTACTGCTTGAGAAGTAATTTAGACGTGTACCAAACATACTCTACGCTCGTTTAGTAAACTTGGCATAAACGTTGAAGAGAACGAGCATGGAGCATAACATCATAGGACCGAAAATGGCTCCTTGAAGACCAAGCCAGTAAATCCCACCAACTATAGACAAACCAGTAACGTACGGATGACTACCCCTACAACAATAAATTTTTTCCAATCCAAATAAAAATGAATAACACTTGAAGAGATAAAAGCGAACCTTAGATATGCAATAAAAAAATGAAAGAACTGACTTCAATTCCCTGTAAAAAGCTGGATCTGCGAAGCACAGTGGTGCTGCACTCAGCAGGAAAAATACTATAGCAGCTGCTGTTTCTCCTCGAACAAAGAAAAGTTCTATTACTCCGACCACTGAGACCGTGTACGGTGCCATAACAGGAATTGCAGCAAAGACTGTTGCCAAAACTGAAGTTAGAAGTAATTCGTACAAATATTTAGAAATTGCCAAAAAAAAATTCATTTGCGAAGATCCTACTTGAAGGGAGAAACACGACGTTCAAGTCAAACAATGAGTGTACAAAGTATGTGTACAATCCGTAAAACACAGCCATTTTTGTCGACAGCACAAATACACCACTGAAAACTTCAAAGTTGCAAAAAGTAATAAGCGAAGATTAAACGGTAGCCAGTGAAACAAAAAAAAGAGCGCTTTTGCCTAAACCAAAGAATACCTGATCGCATTCTCGATTGCGGCTGTTATGTCGCTTGAGCTGAAAGAAGAATTTGTCGGTTCTCTTTGACCTGTAGCCATAGCTTCCAAAGGGGCATCGTTAGGTGATGTGGGCACCGCGTCGCTTATCCATTTTAATGGAAGCCAACGGTCTTTACTGCTTACTAAGAGATAATACACAGCAGTCAAAAAAACTATCTAAAGTAAATTTCCAATAATTAATTTATCACAAAAATTTCTGCAAGGATTTAAGAAGCCTTAAACATGAAATAAGATTCAAAATATTACTAACTGTTTCGATAAAAAAGTTCACAATATTGAGTCCAAAGCCTAGAACTATTCCAGCCACAGAAAACAAGAAAGACGCTATCAGCGAGATATTCAGTACAACAACTGTCCAAATCGAGCGCAAAATCTATAAGCTGCTATTAAAAAATAACACTTCAAATGAGCACTGTTCTATAATAAAATACAAAAAAAAAACAAAAAAAAAACGGCTGCAAAAGACCTGATAAGAATTTCCCAATTTCCCATTACCTCAAAAGAAATTCATTCATACGCCTTTCCAAATTCCTTCTGAAAAAGTCTAGCATCCCACTTATAAACTATTGTTTTAACAATTCAAGCGTAAAAAAGCAGCACTCACTTCGTAACAGCAGTTTGTACCAATATTAAATTATTCTGATAAGCTCAACTCGTCAAAGTACAGAAATATCTATAGCTAACAAATAAAAGAACGTGAAAACATACGTTCAAGATAGTTTCAACATTTTGTTTCAAAACGTTGACCAATTCCTCTTTAAATGCAGCAAAATCAGCTGATTTTAGCCTTTTCATTAATTCATTTGTAGAACCAGATGAAGCGTTTATCGTGGAAGCGCCTCTTTCTTCCCACATCCGATACAGTTCATCAACAAGCTGTAAACTCCAATTCCGCCAGTGGAACTCCAGAGAGGAGATTATGACAATTGTTACAGTTTTCTTATTACTATTTCAGATCGTACTTCAATAAAAGACAATGAAATTTTTCTTAAAATGCTAATGACTAATTTGATATCCAGAAGAAAGTTATACAGAAATTCAAAATTTAAGTCAACTTGCACACCTGCATAACTTGTTTTTCCAAAAGATCTGCTCGTTCAACATCGCCTGGATCTACCAATTTACGTACATTGTCAGCCAACAGTTCCCGTCCTTTAGTATAAGCCTAAAAAAGAAACATATAAAGTCATACACGTACGGTATAAAAAATACAATAAATAAAAAACTGCATTAAAACAAATACCTGATTGACATAATCGTTAATCTCGTGGTGGGAAAGAGTGCCTTCGGTATAATTCTTTGCCGACATAAGTAACCACTCAGGTTGACTTGATAAAACATTAGAACCAAGGTCGATCAGATGAGAAGTTTCGTTATGTAATTGTACCGCGGCGAACACGGTTAAGAAAATGAATGTGAGTGCGAGGAAGGACATTACAAAAATTGAGCTTAACACGTCTATCGATGAACATATCGAGCGTCTCAGCTGTAAGATTTTGGAATAATACCGATCAAAAATGTAAATATAATAGAATGAAGAAAGAAAAAAACAAGACAGTTTCGGCAGTACTATAAATTAGAAAGCAACGTAGCGGAAACAGCAGTATTAACACCTCATAAGTGCCAAAAAATGCATTAAAAAACGATCTAATTTTAACTCTAGAATTTCGCCTCTAAAAACACGATCTTGACGCAGCTGTAAATGCATAGCAGTTCTAAACGGCCGTTCGAAATTTACCAGAAACAAATGAAATGGTTAGAAGACAAAATTATGTGGCTTCCTAGACAGACTGGCGTGTTGAAACAGTTTTCATAGACTCCACAAAGACTGGTTGCAGAGCAAGCATTAGTCTGACAAAATATGATATTTTTTAAAGATAACACAGAATCACTCCACAATTTTTTTTGGAGAGAGGCGAGAACTGAGTTCCCCAACATATGGTAAGGGAAGAAACATATTGATTGATAAACCGACAGACAGTGTGACTTTGTTTAAACCCAATAAATACCCTGAAAAGATCCTACAAGTCCTCCGATGATACCGCAAAAAAGTAGTCGCTTTAAATAAAAAAGTAAATATAAGACTTTGCAAGTAAATAAAAAATAGTAGCAAAAAGTTACTACCATAATTTCCAATTTGTGTATCCAAATTTGACAGATATTTGGTGAGCAATTACAATAGGAATTGCCCGCTGCCGCTGCAGTTATACCAGGCTCCATGTTTCAAAAATGAGAGGAGGAAAATGACCGTTAATCAACGAATTACTGCTACTTGTTAAATGCTAGTCTGATATTTCTCAGTTTAATATTTTGCACTGGACACTTATAAGAAGAAGATATAGTGAAAAAGACTAGGAGAAGTTTGATGGTATTTCGACGAATCTACTGATATCTTCAAACGAGAATTTTGAAAAAAGATCCACGTCACCATAATACTGTTGGCGACTTTCCGTTGGTACCCTAATTTACAGAGTTGTTCTCAATGAACTTGTAACTAACTTTTTGGAAGCAGTTGCTTTAAGGTATGAATAAACCAGCTGCAATCCAACAATTAGATGACGGTATAACCAAAAACTCGTATTCAACTTACAGCTTTGTCACTAATAAACAGATATTTCACAAATTCACGCATATGTCCAGCAACTGTAATGTTTATTAGGAAGCTGAGCTTGGTGCTAACGATACTGCAACAAGAATGAAATGTATTTACCATGCTTGCTCGCATACCGAGAATCTCCCCTAAAACAGAAAGAAATTTGGCGAAATTGATGTATTCATCAGCAATACCAGCATCAATGCTGGTACTTTCCCTCCTTTGACTAGAACGCAAGAAGAACTCGACCATCAACAAGGTACTAGCCTCAGTACTTCGAAGATACAATTTAAAAATAAAATAGACTTTATCAAAAATCTCCTATTCAACAACAGTGTTAACAAATTTAACTCTTTTCAAAACAATACTACTTACCAATCCTTCTCGATGCACCGAAGATCCCAATAAGAATAACCACCAGGGTCACTACGTCATGCCTTGCGGCAAACATGATTACACACAAGCCAAAAATTATCTGAAATTTGAATGCGTTTAAAATGAATAATCCATTTTGATCAAACACCTTACATTGCTACCAGTCTCTACTATCTAAAACGAGAACGACGAGTACGAGCGAAATTACGGTCAAAAAGGACGTGATTACAAAAGGTCTTTAAATAAGATAAGACGCCTTTGTAAAGGAGAGTCAAAAGTAGGAAAAATGACCCGCAAGTGTTAAATGTCGTTCAAAATATTATGAAAAAAGCTGTAAATAACCTCTCTTGCAAAAGTAATTGTTACACTTCAGCAAACGTACAGTACTCCACCAGCCTCTCCATAAAAAATTTTGAATTTCAGTGGCTTAAACTTCAGTTAAAAAGCTATGCAT